AAGGGAATTAAAAGAATTTTTTTTAAAAAAAAAAAAGAGAGAGAAGGAAATCCGTTTGGGCTGCTTCAGTGCATTTCCACAGGCCCAAACGCCCTTAAACCTACCCCAATCACCCCATACCCGGCCCAAAACCATCCCTGACCCGTGCTTCCCCCCCCCCCCCCCACCTAATAATCCAACGACCCCATTTTGCTCCATACCGATCACGACCGTTGGATCTCATTAATCCAACGGTCCAGAAATGGACCATCGTTGGCTATATAACTGTTTCAAACACCCCCTACCCCCATCAAGCTTCACTCCCTACCCCCCTCGTCTCTTATCTCTCTCACACTCTCAAAGACCAGGCCTGAACCCTAGCAGCCGCCCTTGAACGCACCGCCTGAGGGTGGCGGCGCCACCTCCAACCGCCCTGAATTAACACCCCACACCCTCCTCGACCTCCACATCCCAAATTTTCCAACACTTCCCCTCAAATGTTACCCAATCCCCTCGAATGTTGGATCAGAAGTGGAACCCTAATTTGCTCAAATTCCAAGTCAGCATTTCATCAAAGTTTTGGGCCCAAACCGATCTTATTCGTGTATTTTCGATAAAAAGCACATGATTAATTTCGATTTGGGCCAGGAATCAAAGAGCCGGAGGCTCAGGGTTATTTTCCGGATTTCTTCATCAAGTTCAGGGTACTAATCCCGATTTCTTCTTCTTGTTGTTTTGTTTTTATTGTTTGTTCTTTGTTCTAGTTTGCATGTTTTTCTTTTATGCTCACTGTTTATCTTTTCCATGGCATCTGCTAAAGTTAGTTCTAATTTTCTCACTAACTAAAGTCAATTAGCTTTAGGTGTTAGGGGATTTCTCCTTAGTTTAATTTTAGGTCCATTTTCTCTTTTGTTCAGTCCCTCAAATTGTGGACTTGGGTTTGTTTGAATCAACTCTTAGAAGTCAGTAGGCCCAGTAACGAACTCATTTGGGTCTATTCAGACCCGTTGAGTTGGGTCATTTGGGCCCAGATCCTTGTTTGGTAGCTTATGAAATAATAGGGGTATTGGGGGGTAATTTAGGAAGTTTAGGATAGGGGAATCTTTGGTAACTAATTTCAGAAGTTTCTAGTAGGGGTTTTAGGAGAATTTCATACTTTTGGGTGGTTTAACTTGGGTAGCAAGTCAATAATTAGAGGATATCTAGGCAAAAGGGAAAATTAAAAGAGGTCAAAAGTGCAAAATCAGAATCTAAAATCCGCCCTACTTACTTGCCTATAAAGGCACTCTTTCTTGCCTTAGAAGGGGGACCGGAAGAGATTTTAGAGCCTAAAATTGGAGAGAGAGAGAGAGCTAAAAATCCAAAAATCAGAGACGGCTGAAAGTTTCCAAAAAAAAAATAACACTGTTCTATTGATTTCTGATTCTAGTTTTGAGGTTTTTCTACTTTAAATAACTCTGGTTCATTTGGGAATTGGAAATGGGTTGATTTTGAGTTTCGAAGGGTTGTTTGATCCGAGCTTTGTTGGAGTCTACTGTTCTATTGATTTGGGAATTAATTTTTGTGGTTTTGATTACTAAATCTGAGTTATTCTGTTGCTGGAGCTGATTTCTGCACTTGATACTGCTGACTCCTCATCTTTTCCTTTACTTTTTCATTCCCAGGTACACTCTTTGTAACCATATTGATTATGAAGTGACAAATTTGAGAAAATGAGCTGATATGAAGATTGATTCATGTGTATAGAGATTTGTATTAATGCAGTAGTCTATTCAACTATTCTACACTTTCAAAATTGTTTAGCTTAGTTTAATTCCTTCATATGTCATTTTGTATGCTCTGAACATGGACTGTTGCGGTACTGTTGGTTTGATAGTTCATTATGGGGTTCCAAATGTGCATGAAAGATCCTGTTGAGTGCTTGGTACTATTGCCAGTTGTATGGGTCCTTAAAATTGAATAATCATCCATTAGTGCATCATTATACGTTCAGCATAAATTTAAATTCGAGCATGGAGCTTTTATTTTAAGCCTGAGCATTCATCAATGTTTTTATGTTTGGGTAGAAATTGGCTCTGCATATCACATGATTCAAGTTCGTTCATGCACAGTGATCTGGATCTTGGTTTAATAATTGCAATAACGTGCTAGTTTGGAATCGATTTCCACCTGGGTTCTTGAGTGATTAAAAACAACTGTGAATTGCACTGATGTTTACAAAAAAAAAAAATCAAAAACTGGAAAGTTCAGTGCTCTGTTTGCATTCGTTCTCTCAAGGGCTGGTGTCAGTATTTTGATTTCACATTTTGTGCGTATGAATTGTGATTCGAACTTAAGCCGTTTGAGATTTGGCTCTCAATGTTTTGGGCCATCCCATGGCGTTGGTCCACGAATCCGTGTGTGTGGGAATGGACTGTTTTTTTTTCCAGCCACAGCAGGCTATTGGGCTCCATGTCTAGCCCAATTTGATTTTCAGCTATTGACCTCTTCTTAAAATTAATTGGTTTATTTGCCCATATGTTTGATAGTCCTTCAGCTAATTAATTAGAACTTTAGTTATGGCTAGTGTTAATTGTTTAAGCTCCTTAGTTAGAATAGGCATTAAACCATAATAGACAATAATAGTTCATGACTCTCCGAGCTTTAGTTCGAATATCCTTTAAATAGAGTATTTTTGAGGTGCGCCATGCCAAACAAGAATGACAATTGCGTGGCCCTCATATTAATTCTGTATTGATCCTTAGATTCGAGGCGTGCCATTTAGCAAATTCCATGGCCCTCACAAAGTGCAAACGCGTAGTTGCTTTAGGCGCGTGTTTAATAATATTACTTTCCTAAATTCGGGTGCATATTTATGTGACCCAAATCCAAATCTCAACGATGTTAAGATATGTCAAAAACCACGGGTGCATCTATGTGACGTGGTTCGAGACGTGTTTTAACGACGTTGCAATTCTCTTTAAAAATAATAATAAAAGCGGCTAAAAGTTAAAATTTGCACATAGGTTCATAATTGTTTAAAATCAGATAATTTAAGCAGAATATGACAATTGAGCGACCGTGCTAGAACCACGGAACCCGGGAATGCCTAACACCTTCTCCCGGGTTAACAGAATTCCTTACTCGGATTTCTGGTTCGCGGACTGTTAAACAGAGTCATTTGTTTCCTCGATTCGGGATTCTAAACCGGTGACTTGGGACACCATGAATCTCCCAAGTGTCGACTCTGATTTTTAATAAACGAATCCCGTTTCGATTGTCACTTCAAGTTGGAAATAACTCCCTTTCTTATACCCCTTGTCGGGGGTGTAGTAGGAAAAAGGAGGTGTGACAGCTCTGGCGACTCTGCTGCGGACATGAACCCAGAACTTTTGGTTCAGGGTTCAAAAATTCGAGCTTAGAATAAATGTTGTATTTGGCTTTGTTTATTATCTGATATTTTTTACATGTTGGGCTTAATGTGCAAAATGATACTTTTACCGCTTTGATATTATTTGAACTGTACATATAAACTGTTACGAAACCCTTCTCTTCTTATCTTTAGGGATGTGCTCGCTGGTCGAGACTCCCTATTCTGTCAGTGTCATACCTTGAAATAAGAAAGAGGCTCGAACAAGTTACTAAGCCGGATGATCTTTCGGGTCCCCGATNTGCATCTTCCTTGTGCACTTATTTGTTGTGGATTCGCATGCTGACCGGCTTTTAAAGGAAATAGCGATATGAGGGTTAAAGAGAGATAATTACCTGTTTGGGAAAAAACCAATGTCCAAATAGCGTCGAAACTCTGCCGAATTTTTGAGAAAAATAGAAAAAGAAAAAAAAAGGGAAAAGAAAAAAAAAAGAGTCTTGTTTTCAAAAATAGTTTGTTTTATTTGCCAATGGAAAATGAAAGAGAAAAAAAAGGAGTCTTGTTTTCAAAAATAGTTTGTTTTATGGAAAAAGAAGAAAAGGAAAAAAAAGAGTCTTGTTTTTTAAAAAATAGTTTGTTTTATTTGCCAATGAAAATGAAAAAGAGGAAAAAAAGAGTCTTATTTTCAAGAATAGTTAGTTTTATTTACCAATGAAAAAAATGAAAAGAAGAGTATTGTTTTCAAAAATAGTTTGTTTTGTTTGCCCGAGCTACGCCAGTTTGATTCCCACAGGGTGTGGGATACGTAGGCAACCCCCATCGGGTCCAACTTCTTTTTGCGAAAATAGCCCAAAATGAACAAAATTTTATTTTTATTGTAAATAGGTAACGTGATGCCGTTTTTGTCGAAAATAGCCGAATGTTCCCGAAAGGGACGCCGGAAGGCTGATTTTGCATAAACAGCCACCTTTGGTCTTTTTCTAATTTTTGGCCAGTTAGCGGGCACGGCCTTAAAATCTTCCTTCGGAGGTGCTGAAAGGCCGTATCTGCAAAACTGGGCTTTTGGCTTTAAATTAAAAAATAAAAAAAAGAGAGTTAGTTTTAATTTTGGAGTCAAATAGAATAAAATCATGATTGTTTCGCTTAATCACCTTAACAAATGTGCAGGATGAGCACAATCCAAAATGAACCTTCCTCATTCATAAGTAAAATCCCTTTGGAGTTGCGGGTGTGGTGGAATGATTTAGGTGGAGAAGGGCAAGACGAGGTCAAGAAATACTTGGGGGGCCTTCCCGGACTGTTGGAGATTATACCCAGGGGAGACATCATAAGGGCCTTGGTCACATGCTGTGACCCGGCTCACAATGTATTTCACTTCTCAGATTTTGAGCTTACCCCAACACTGGAGGAGATATCCGGATACATCGGGGGTCCCAAGGTTCCTCTGAGACACCAATACCTGATTGCTCCAAGGACCGTAGCCGTGCACAGGTTCCTGGATTCCTTGAAAATAAGCAGGGTGGTACACAACCCGAACTTGGCAGCTGGTTTTTGTACTTTGTCGTTCATATACAACAGATATGGTCATGTAGGAGGATTCAACAAGCCATAGAACAAAATCTGTAGCAAAGAAAACCGCCTTAAGTGGGAAGAACATAGGCGTTTTGCATTTATGGTGGCATTTCTAGGACTTCTGGTGTTCCCTAGAAAAGACGGGAATATTGACATACGAGTAGCTGGGGTTGTTAGTACTTTGCTCACTCAGGTCAACAGCACCCTCGCACCCATGATAGTAGCTGAAATCTTCCGCGCTCTGACTGTCTTCAAAGCTAGAGGGGACTTTTTTTAGGGTTGTAATGTGCTGTTGCAGATGTGGATGATCGAACACTTATGCCATCGTCCTCAATTTATGAGCTACGGGTCGTCAAAGAAGACATGCATAGAGGAATTTTCCACGAGGGTTAAGGGGATCAACTTACCAGAGGGGGTTGCAGAGTGGTTAGCACGCCTTCTTTCCGTCTCTGCGTGCCAAATAGAGTGGACATTTTGATGGTTATCTGTGGATGAAATCATATATATGCCAGCCACCGGACCTCATTTCCTATTGATGGGACTCAGGAGTATTCAGCCCTATGCCCCGTATCGAGTTTTGAGGCAGTTGGGGAGATGCCAAATAGTCCCGAAAAATGAAGATCTCAATGGCCAAGTAGTCGAGATCGGGCTTAATGGTCAATTTCCTGAAGCAGCAGTTCGCAAAATTTGGAACGAATGTCAATACTTGTCAAGACCCCAAAAACCCGGTCGTGATGGCGCCCAACAATATTGCTAGGCAAGCCTGACCACAATCGTTCCCAAATCAACCGTAAACCTCAAACCGACCATCTAAAGAGATTATAATGGTTTTAGAATAATAATCCAATATTTATAATAGAATAATACTGAGAAAAATACGAAGTCTGATAAACGCTCCCAAAGACCTGGGGTCATGAGTCTAGAGCCTCTAAAACAATCTGAATAACAATATCTGAACGAAAATGCTCAAGTCTGGAAATGTATATATAAATAAAACTGAAATAGGAAGAGTAGTCAGGTCCTGCGAACGTCAAGCAGCTACCTCAACAACCCGGATAAGCTCTGGGAAACAAAGACTGCTCAGCTAAGCCTCCGGTGTACCTGAATCTGCACACAAGGTGCAGGGAGTAGGGGTGAGTACTACCGACTCAGTGAGTAATGAGCATATAAAATGTCTGAAGATAAGAAATCCACGAAATACCACAAAGCAAAGCTAACACTAACATTCCTACACCTTACTATGAACCAACAGCAAAACAACTTCAAATATAATAGTCAAGTAAAATGTAATGATGCAATGCAATGCACATGACCGCTACGGCGCGTAGCCCGATCCATTTAACGTCGACGGCGCTCACTGGGGGTGTGTACAGACTCCGGAGGGGCTCCTTCAGCCCAAGCGCAATATAATCATACGATTCGCTGCGGCGTGCAGCCCGATCCATACTCAGTCCACAATATGCATATGAGTCACGTAACAGATTCAATTAATTTCCCAATTTCCAATTTATTAAGGAGAATATACTTTAGATAATTAACTTCAGGAAAAGTGACTTAGCGTTTCATACAGTGATTAACAAAGGGCTGAGATCAATGATTATACAAAGCATGCTATCACAATGACATTCATCCTCTAAGGATGCTACAGATCGGCACAAGGCCCCAAACACGGCAATAAGCCCAGATATATTCAATACAGGGTGCGTATCAGTCGCCAATNGAGTCTGTATTTCCTTTCCATTAAAGTCTGTCAGTTCGTCTTGGAGTCTGTATTTTCTTTTTATGTGGGTTAGTTGTTCTTCGAGTCTGTAGTTCGTCTTTCATCGGAGTCTGTTAGTTCTTGTTTGAGTCTGTTGGTTTTCGAATTTTTGTAATCAAAGTTTGATTTATTATGAAAAATTGGAAATTCCAAAAAAATGTTTTATTGTTTCTTTACCTTTTATCTGCAAGAACTACGCTTGGGTTGATTCATGCGGGGTCATGATACGTAGGCAATCTCCATAGGATTCGACCGTAACAGAATGAAAAAAAAGAAAATAAGAGGAAAAACAAGAGAGAAAAGGAAAGAAAAAGAGCGCAAAAAACAAGAAAGAAAAGAGAGAAAAAAAATCGAGAAAGGGAGATAATAGGAACAAGAGAAAATAAAAGCAAGAGTGAAAAGAAGAAAGAAAGAAGAAAAAAAGAGAGAGAAGTTTGCAGTTGAAAATGAGAAAAGGCCGGGATGACGCATGCAATCGATCAAATGCATAATAGAGACCGTTAACTACTTAGGTGCATTCACGCCCAATGTGCGGTTACCAATCTGTTAAAGCCTAATCACTAACAAGGTTGTTTTTTGATGTGTTGAGTCCAGGCAGGTGGTTAGTTGATAGGCATTCTGGCAACTCATCCATACAACACCCGGTCAAAAGACAAGTCAGTGTGGCCTATAAGGATTTGTGTCTGTTCCTAGATGTTCAGCTACCAGCAGGGTTCAAGATGCCTAAGTTCGATCTGTATGACGGGCATGGTGATCCGGTAGCACATTTGAGAGGGTTTTGCAGCAAGATGAGAGGGGCAGGTGGAAAAGATGAGTTACTGATGGCGTACTTCAGCCAGAGTTTGAGTGGGTCTGCATTAGAATGGTATACACGACAAGACCATGGCAGGTGGTACACCTGGGACGACTTGGCACAAGCGTTCGCTTGCCACTTCCAGTACAATCTTGAAATCATTCCAGACCGTCTGTCATTGATAAAACTCGAGAAAAAGCCCAGGGAAAGTTTCAGAGAATATGGGTTCCGTTGGAGGGAGCAGGCCGTGAGGGTAGACCCTCCAATGAAAGAGAGTGAGATGGTCGATTACTTTTTGCAGGCTTTGGAGCCGACTTATTTTGGTCACTTGGTAACAGCGATTGGCAAGTCTTTTAATGAGGTTGTAAAGATGGGAGGCATGGTCGAGGAGGGACTTAAGTCCAACAAGATCATGAGTTATTCAGCGATCAAAGCAACCACCCAGGCCATCCAAAACGGCACTGGGGGTGTGCTTGGGAAAAAGAAGAAAGAAGATGTTGCGACAGTTGAGTCCGGAGCCTGGTTCGGATCTAGAGGCCCATCACCCTACTATAACCAACCCCGACCCCACCACCAAAATTACCCACACACTCCATATATCCCCCCACAACACTATTACCCACCGCCAGATCCCCATTTTTCCGTCCATCATGCACAAACCTACACCCAAACCCCGGCTCACGCACAATGGCGTGCGCCGATTCTACAAAATCCATACCCAGCTCCACAAAACACCTATCCACCCCCAAGAGCCTACAGAAATCCCACCGGAACAGGTTTCCGACCCAACCAAGCCTTCAAGAATGAGAGGTTACAGAAGCAAAAGACTTTCACTCCGCTGGGAGAATCATACACCAGTCTATTCCACAGATTGAGGCAGTTGGGCATGTTGAATCTAATTGAGCCTAAAATGCCAAATCCCCCTCCTAGAAATCTTGACCACTCGGTAAGTTGTGAGTACTGTTCAGGGGCCCCCGGGCATGATACAGAGAAGTGTTGGAAACTGAAAACAGCTGTGCAAGAGCTCATTGATACTCACCGGATCGTGGTTCAGGCCCCAGAGGCACCAAATATCAATCAGAATCCGCTTCCGGCTCACCATGAGACCCATATGATTGAGTTGATACACAAGGGAGGGGAGCCTAAGAAACCCTCGCAGACGGTAATGATGATCCGTTCCAGCCAAACCGGTTCAAAAGAAAAGGTAACCAGTGGGAAATCGGTGGTCCAGTTGAAAGGGGTGGACAGTAAGCCAGTTGTGGTAGCTGAGAAAGGGTCGTCAAGCATTCTTGCAGTGAAACCAGAACAAGCTAAAGTGGTGGTACCAGGGGTAGCATGTAAACCTATTGTGGTCGTGAAGGGTGCTCGCAGAGAGCCTGTTATTATAAGGCCGGTAACTCAGCTGCCAGTAATCAACAGTAAAGTCGTCCCTTGGAGTTATGAACAAGTGGTAGTGACGTATAAAGGGAAGGAGATCAGAGAAGAAGTTTGTGAGGCTCAGGGTCTGACTCGTTCGGGAAGGTGCTTTGCCCCCGATGAGTTAAGAAAAGCCAGAATCCCCAAAGATAACCCGGTATTGAAAAAGAAAGCCGTGACGGAAGAGGAAGCGGAAGAATTCTTGAAAAAGATGAGAGTGCAGGATTACTCTATTGTAGAACAATTAAGGAAGACACCGGCCCAGATCTCATTGCTCTCACTGCTGATCCACTCAGATGAGCATCGCCGGGCGCTGATGAAAATATTGAATGAGGCCCATGTCCCTGACAAGATCTCGGTGAATCACTTGGAGAAGATAGCAAATAAAATCTTTGAGGTGAACAGAGTTACTTTCTCCGACGATGAGTTGCCCGTGGAGGGCACGTAACATAACAGGGCTCTTTATCTGACAGTAAAGTGCGAGGATTCTGTAGCCACCCGAGTACTGGTTGAAATTGGGTCTAGTGCGAACATCTGTCCTCTGTCCACGTTGAACAAGCTGAAGGTTGACGATGAAAGAATTTATAAGAACAACATTTGTGTGCGGGGGTTCGACGGTGGGGGCAAAGATTCAGTGGGAGACATAATACTGGAATTGACAATAGGGCTCGTGGAGTTCACCATGGAATTCCAAGTGTTAGATGTGGCAGTCTCTTATAACCTTTTGCTGGGGCGACCCTGGATCCATGCTGCCAAAGCAGTGCCATCTACATTACATCAAATGGTTAAGTTCGAGCGGGACATACAGGAGATTGTGGTGCACGGTGAAGATAATATGTGCGCCTTGAGTGATGCCATTGTGCCTTTCATAGAAGTTGACGACGACAAGGGGCCGTGGGTCTACCAAGTCTTTGACACAGTGTCAGTGGAAAAGGTCTCAGAGGGGAAGAGTATCCCAGTTCCTAGAGTAACAGCTGCGACTGTCATGGTGGCCTCGAAAATGTTAAAGAACGGGTTCATACCGGGTAAAGGTTTGGGTGCTGCCCTTCAAGGCATTGTGCAGCCAGTTACTCTTCCCAGGAATCTAGATACTTTTGGATCGGGGTTCAAGCCCACAGCTGCGGACGTAAGACGGGCCCGCAAAATGAAGAAGAGGGCATGGGTCCTTCCCAAGCCAATCCCGCGTCTGTCCAAATCATTCGTCAGGCCGGGTATCAGAAAGCAATTGTTGTCAAAAGTTCCTGGGTCATTGATTGGTGCTGACGGAGACTTGGATAAGGGGTTCGAAAGATTATTCGCCGAGGTTAACATGGTTGAGGCCAGGGAAGGTTCAAGCAAGGCAGATGTGCAGTTCGCCGGACCACGTGCAAAAGTCAACAACAGGGAAGCTACTCCTCTTCCTACTCGGAGGGAGTCTTGGTAGTGGGTTTTGATTTTCTTTAGTTATCTGGATTATTCCAGGGTTTGTAATTCAGATATTATGTTCCGTCCAGTTGGATGTGTTAAAACCCTATTATCTTTATATTCAATGAAATGCAATTGTCTTTTCTTTCTTCATTCCTAATCTTATTTCTGTTTTCTTTTCTTCTCTGTACAGTTCTTTTTATGCTGATATCAATGACATGACATGCATGAGGAATCTTCGGCCCAGTTTTAAAAGCCAATCTAACTCGGAAATAATAATACAAGAAATTGAGTGCGATGATGAGTTAGAATATGATGATGATGAGGCCTATGAAGAAATTAGTAAGGAATTAAGCCATTTTGAGGAAAAACCCAAACCTAACCTAAATGACACAGAAGCAGTTAGTCTAGGGGACCAAGATAATGTCCGTGAAACTAAAATAAGTGTTCATCTGGAACCACAACTCAGGGAGGAGATAATCAAAGCATTGTTCGAATACAAAGATATTTTTGCATGGTCGTATGATAATATGCCGGGTCTAAGCACTGATTTAGTGGTTCACAAATTGCCCACTGACCCGTCATTCCCTCCCGTCAAACAGAAGTTGAGGAAGTTCAAAACGGATATGAGTGTAAAGATCAAAGAAGAGGTCACCAAGCAGTTCGATGCAAAAGTTATTCAGGTCACGCTGTATCCTACCTGGTTAGCCAATGTTGTGCCTATGCCAAAGAAGGATGGCAAAACCAGGGTGTGTATTGATTATCGGGATCTCAACAAGGCGAGTCCAAAAGACAATTTCCCTCTGCCGAACATCCACATATTGATTGATAATTGTGCCAAACATAAGATTGGTTCTTTTGTGGATTGTTACGCGGGTTATCATCAGATCTTAATGGACGAGGAAGATGCAGAAAAGACGGCATTCATCACGCCATGGGGAACATATTGCTATCGGGTCATGCCATTTGGTTTGAAAAATGCTGGGGCAACCTATATGAGGGAAATGACAACAATATTCCATGATATGATACATAGGGAAATCGAGGTGTACGTGGATGATGTGATCGTGAAGTCTAGAGAGCAGTCTGACCATGTCAGGGATCTGAGGAAGTTCTTCCAAAGGCTTCGCAGGTACAATCTTAAGCTCAATCCTGTAAAGTGCGCTTTTGGGGTGCCGTCTGGAAAGTTGTTGGATTCATAGTCAGCCGCCGGGGAATTGAACTGGACCCGTCAAAAATCAAGGCTATTCAAGAATTGCCACCTCCGAGGAACAAGACCGAGGTGATGAGTTTGTTGGGGAGATTAAATTATATCAGCAGGTTTATTGCTCAGCTCACGACAACTTGTGAGACAATCTTCAAACTGTTAAAGAAAGATGCTGCAATCAAGTGGACAGATGAATGTCAGGAGGCTTTTGATAAGATAAAGGGGTATTTGTCGAACCCACCCATGTTGGTCCCGCCAGAACCAGGGCGACCTCTGATTCTATATTGACAGTTTTGGACAATTCATTCGGCTGTGTACTGGGGCAACATGATATCACTGGCAGAAAGGAGCAGGCTATCTATTACCTCAGCAAGAAATTCACATCTTACGAGGTTAAGTATACTCATCTTGAGAGGACATGTTGCGCCCTAACTTGGGTGGCACAGAAGCTGAAACATTATTTGTCATCTTATACTACTTACCTCATCTCTCACTTGGATCCATTGAAATATATCTTTCAAAAGCCTATGCCCACAAGGAAGCTTGCAAAGTGGCAGATCTTGCTTACAGAGTTTGACATTGTCTATGTGACCCGGACTGCAATAAAAGCACAGGCTTCGACGGATCATTTGGCCGAGAATCCGGTTGATGAGGACTATGAACCTTTGAAAACTTATTTCCCCAATGAAGAGGTGATGCATATTGAGGAGTTGGAGCAAATGGAGAAGCCGGGATGGAAACTTTTCTTTGATGGGGCTGCAAACATGAAAGGCGTGGGGATAGGAGCGGTACTTATTTCTGAAACAGGGCAGCACTACCCTGTTACGGCTCAGCTTCGTTTCTATTGTACTAACAACATGGCGGAGTACGAGGCATGCATTCTCGGTTTGAGGTTGGCTATGGACATGGGTGTACAGGAAGTCTTGGTCTTGGGTGACTCGGACCTCCTGGTACACCAGATTCAGGGAGAATGGGAAACACGAGATTTGAAACTTATACCGTACCGACAATGTTTGCATGATCTTTGTCAACGGTTCCAGTCGATAGAATTTAGGCATATCCCAAGGATTCATAATGAAGTTGCCGATGCTTTGGCTACTCTAGCGTCAATGTTACATCATCCAGATAAGGCTTACGTGGACCCTTTGCAAATTCAGGTCCGTGATCAACATGCTTATTGTAATATGGTGGAAGAAGAACTTGATGGGGAGCCATGGTTTCATGATATCAGAGAATACATCAGGATGGGGTTATATTCGGTACAGGCCACGGGTGATCAGAAAAGGACAATTTGACGGTTGGCAAGCAGATTTTTCTTTAGTGGAGGAGTGTTGTACAAAAGAACTCCAGACCTTGGATTGCTAAGATGCATTGATGCGAGGCAGGCCACAGCTATCATGACTGAGGTACATTCCGGAGTTGGTGGACCGCATATGAGTGGGTACGTTCTGGCAAAGAAGATTCTCCGAGCAGGTTACTATTGGCTCACTATAGAGCGGGATTGCATCAGTTTCGTGCGCAAGTGTCATCAGTGTCAGGTGCATGGAGATTTGATTCATTCTCCGCCATTTGAATTGCATACAATGTCGGCACCATGGCCCTTTGTTGCTTGGGGAATGGATGTCATTGGGCCAATCGAGCCAGCGGCATCAAATGGACACAGGTTTATTCTGGTAGCCATTGATTATTTCACTAAGTGGGTTAAGGCGAAAACTTTCAAGTCTGTGACCAAGAAGGCAGTGGTCAATTTTGTGCATTCGAATATCATCTGTCGGTTTGGGATCCCGAAGGTAATCATCATGGACAATGGTGCTAATCTCAACAGTCAGTTTAAGATTACGTACCGCAATTCCACCCCATATCGCCCTAAGGCGAATGGAGCAGTCGAGGCAGCTAACAAGAATATAAAGAAGATACTTCGAAAAATGGTGGAAGGGTCCAGGCAATGGCATGAGAAGTTACCTTTCGCATTGTTGGGCTATCGCACTACTGTTCGTACTTCAGTTGGTGCAACTCCTTATATGTTGGTGTATGGCACTGAGGCAGTAATACCCGTAGAAATTGAAATCCCATCCTTTCGGATTGTCGCCGAGGCAGAAATTGATGATGTTAAATGGGTCAAAGCCCGCTTGGAGCAATTAAGTCTGATTGATGAAAAGAGATTGGCAGCAGTATGTCATGGCCAATTGTACCAACAGAGAATGGCGAGAGCATATAACAAGAAGGTGCGTCCACGGAAGTTTGAAGTGGGACAGTTAGTGTTGAGACGTATCTTGCCTCATCAGGCTGAAGCAAAAGGAAAGTGCGCCCCAAACTGGCAGAGACCATTCGTTGTAACTAGAGTGTTGTCCAATGGTGCATTACATTTGACAGATGTGGAAGGAAAATGTGTAGAAATGACCATCAATTCTGATGCAGTGAAGAGATACTATGTATGATTCCTTTGTTTGATTGTACTTGTTTGTATTTGGCATATTTTGAAGATTGAAATGACAAAGGCGTTTTGTTCTGCTATCTAAACACTTTATCCCTTGTCATCCCTTTTGAGCCTTATTTATTTTCTTTCATATCCCCTCTTTCGGAATCAATGGCGCAATTCAGAAACGCAAGCACGGAAGATAAGTAAAAAAAAGAGAAAAAAAACAAGAAAAGAGAAAGGAATGAAAAAGAGAAAAAAAAAAGAAAAGAAAAATCACAACAAAGCAATTTCTATGACATGAACTACGTTCGACCTGATTCCTTTAAGGATACGTAGGAAGCCTCACGGTTTGGTCCCATCAAAATAAAAATCCAAAAGTCCCCAAGCAAGAAACTGGGGCAGAAGTTGTGGTTGTTGTGAGAAATCTGATTCCGAAAGTTGTAATTTTTAACCCATTTGAATGTTTTGAGCTTTTTATACCCTTTCTTTCTAACCCCGTCCAAAAACCCACGTCACGGTCCAAAGAAAGACCTTCTGATCAGTCTTCGGGTCGAGCAGATAGAGGTGATTCATTTCAGGGACAACACTCTGGTCCATGCAGGAAAATAATGAAAATGAGAGAGTCTTATTGGTGAAAACCCTCACGGGCACCATAAGGCGACGGGAGCTGAGAGAAATGAAAATGAGAGAGTCTTATTGGTGAAAACCCTCACGGGCACCTTGAGGTGAAAGTGAGTTGAGAAGTGAACAAATGAGAGAGGTCTACGGGTGAAAACCGTTCAAGACAACGCAGGATGAACAAGGTTAGGGTTTGGGTGAAGAAATCAGGTTATGGAATTCTGAGGCAACAAAGTATGGCAACTGAAAGTTGATTGGTTGGACGGATTGGGCCGATTAGTCCGAAACGCATGTCATGATCAATGGTATCAGCTGTTCCACTCAGATAGTCTCTTTTCCTTTTTCCTTTTAGCAAGTCATCCTGTTTTGGATGTTCTTTATCCTTAACTCTCAATGTCATTGTATTTCATTTCTTTTGGGGTCTGTTTCTCTAAGATGTTTCAATGTCAGTCTTGATCAAAGCAAATAAGAAAGGATTTCAAAGCTCACTATCAATTTCTGAAATTGCAAAGCACAGTGTGGCCAGAACATACGAAAGATAGCATGATGTAAAGTGGGATATAAGGAGTCACCGGAAGTTTCATCGGTGGAATGACTTGGTAATTTCATGGGAGATGCAAAGGTTCAAAGAAAAGGGGCCAGAGAGGTAAAACAACGGTTTGGGTATGGAACACTCGGGTCATCAAGGGTCATGAGATTTTAGGTCAGTCAGAAAGTCAAGTAGTTCAAGGCCAGTTCAGGGGAAGCAGGTCAAAACAAAGCACGACAACGGAAAGACCTTCAGCAAAAATGCCATCAACTAACCACCATTTTAAACTGACAAGATTTGCCTTTGATTGAAACAGGGGCAGGAAATTTTGTTTGTTTCGGAGGAACTCTCCGTGGGGGAAGAGCAAGCACCAAACAGGTTTGATCGTAAACTTTCAGGACCCTCCTGGAAAATGGGATTTAGCTTAAAATTCAAGACAATCATGAGCAGCGTAAAGTAGCATAGATATATCCCAAAGGAATATAAGTTGGTTTAAAAGTTGGAATGTTAAGGTAGAATTCAATTAGGAGTTTTTAGGACCCTCCTGAATAATGGGACCTAGCTTTATGATTTCCGTTAGACAGTAAGGTTTGGCATAAGTGCTGTTGCAGGGTAATATAAGTTAGCAGTAAAATTGTCACTTTCAAGATAATAGTTGATTTTCAGGACCCAACTGGATAATGGGACGTAGTTTTAAGGTCCGCTTAGATAACAAGATATAGTGGAAGTCGTACCTTCAGTAGATATAACTTAGGTTAAAACTGTCTTTTAACTAGAAGTTGTCAGGACCCTCCTGGATAATGGGGAGTAGTTTAAGACCCTCTTAGATAACAAGATTTAGCGAAAGTGACATCTTTAGAAGACATAACTTAGATTTATAATGGTCGTTTAATTAAGAGTTGTCAGGAAACCCCTGGATAATGGGACCTAGCTTTCAAATTCTTAGTAATATTTGGCAATATGATTCAGTTTAACACTCACATATGTGCCCAGCTACCAAACTGGGGCAGAAAATTTTCTTTGTTTTTGTCTATTTTTGTTGAAATCAGGAGTCCGCCTAGAGAACAGAGGAATACATATCAAGTAGCAGTCAGGAGCCCGCCTGGAGAACAAGGGAGTATAATTCAAGTTTTAGCTTTCAAGTTCATATAGATAGTTGGTAATGTGACTCGTTTCGTACTTACATGTGTTCCCATAAACCCAAACTGGGGCAGGAAATTTCCTTTGTTTCATCTATTTTGTCGAAGTCAGGTGTCTGCCTAGATAGCATGGGAATATATTCAAGTTTTGAAGTCAGGAGCCCGCCTGTATAGCAGAGGAATACATTTAAAGTTTTGAAGTCAGGAGCCCGCCTGGATAGTAGAGGAATACATTCAAGTTTTGAAGTAAGGAGCCCGCCTGTATAGCAGAGGAATACATTCATATTTCGAAAAACTTAAAAATTACATTATCCTAACGTATTGAAAATCATATACAGCGCTCTGCTTCAAAACGATTTCACCGGACGGTGGCATTCTCTGCCTATTACAGGCGAGCATACGCAAAAGGTATACAATTCAAAGATTTCTTATGATTCAAAACCTCTGAAGAAAATGCTAATTCCTCCTGCTTAGTACAGGGCTCCGACAGCTGTTAAATTTTGATGTATTCCTCCTATACACCGGCTCCTGACTTCAAAACTTAAATGTATTCCTCTGTATCCAGGGGCCCTGACTTCAAAAC